GTTTGACAGGAGCCTTTCATATTAATTAAATGTTAAGTAGAGAAAACATATGCTATATTTGCTAGGCAGATTCAATCATATGTCTCATTATATGAGTGCGTTGTCCTGCATTGTTTCATTTTCTCACATAATCTGTCAACTTGTTATCGAACGTACATGACATATGGTACGTAACGTATGGTACAGGTACTGTGCAAAACTATACACCTGTTGCAGTTTTTTTTATAATTACACTGTAAAAAAACATGTCCCGATAGACATGGTGGTTGTATCTAATATTGTAAAACAATGTAAAGTTGCTAACTCTTTTGATAGATATTAGTCTGATGTCGTCTTGTCCAAGTTTTAAAGAACATTTTAATGACCTTATTTAAGTGGAATAGCTTTTCCCGTTGATTCTTTTTTCAAATATTTCTAAGTATAATATGTTTATTAATTATATTATGACTAATATTTCTCTAGATTTATTTTTTATAAATATTTAAATTTCTCTTCCTAGTCTAAAAAAAATATATTTATTTAGTGCATTAATCAATATCTCGATATTTGTTACACTTTTTAATAGACATTTTTTCTTCTTTAATCTTTATCTTATAAACTGGCGTCGTTAACCTAATTTGTCGGGGATTTTTATTTGTTGCAAACGAATGTATTAAGTGGAGCATCCGAAAACCGATTGACTTAAATGACAAAATAATAGTTATAAGGTATACTGTGTGTAAGATGCAGTCACTACAAATATATATTTAATGACGTTCAAAATCTTCAGAAGTTCGACCGACTCTTTTAACCCCTCCGTTATGAAGATCCTTCGAATCAGTAACTTTTATTACTTTTTATAACAACTTGAATTGATTGCCATCTTACAGTTGAGTAAATAAACTTAATGTTTTGTATGATCACTGATGAAAGAATGTCACTGAATGTTTTATAAGAGTAGTTTTTGCGACGTGATGGGACAATATGACGAATTTCTGGCGACCAAACACGTAAAAATGAAAAGAAAAAATGATGGAAAGTGATGGTGTTAAGGAATGAGGTATCAGAAGCTATGGTTATGTTAATGAAGGGTTTTTAACTCATCAAACTTGTACTTCTGACTCTAATTAAGCATGGACGTTCCTTTTGACTCCCTGTGACAAGAAAATATGACATCCCATTAGAAAAATAGATTAGATGATTTCTTATTCAGAAAAAAAAGTACTAAAAGTTTGAAAAAAATGTTGATGTTTAATTCAGTGTATATAGTAATTTAGTTGATAATAAGTAGCAAGTTTAATTCACCGTGAATATTTAGTAATGCAAAACAGTTGTAGTTATCTAGTATTTCAATGGGACTTTCTTTACACATCAAAATTATCTTTCTTAAGAAATAATTTGATGCAACTGAGGCAGGACAAAGTACAAGGGTCGGCATAAATGAATGGTATTACTTTTCATTTTTTATATCGAATGGAATTATGAAAGCATTAAGCGTAATGATTACCATATACAAGAAATGTAATACATGTGACTAATCTAATGCATAATACTATCAAAATGCACTTAATATGTATAATATATGTATATTATACGTTTATAAAGTGTCCTTGCATGCAACACGTCATGGAAGATGTGTGTGGTGAGAGGGGGGGGGGGGGTAGGGTTGAGAATGTGAGGCTGGGAGGGACATAGATAGATAGACATAATATATATTATATAGCTGAAATACCAGCATTTCAAGAGCGAAATAAATTTAAATAGATATGTACCAAAAAACAAAGTGCAAGGTTGAAAATGGGAATGATGAATAAAATCATTCCATGAGTATTAATGGTACGGCTAATAAATAATGTATTCTTTTACTACAGTTTCTGGTAAATTCCTTGTAATTAGATGGATTTTATTGTAAATTAATTGCGGGGATACAAATTACATTGTACAGAACACGCAATTCCCACAATATTTTTTTGACCCAATACTTTTTTGACCGGAAGTTGACAGGTGTTTTATTTTGCGTGTAAGACTTATTATTTTTATACTAAATTAATTCTTACTCATTGTCTGTTATTAGAATTTCGCCTTTGAGGAGCTTTACTCGCACAAAAAAATAACCGGACATATTTTTTCCGTTAATTACGTATGATAAAGAGAATCGACACACAATTAATAAAACGAAAAATGCTAAGGTGACACTTTTATTGGTCATAAGTGGAAATTAGTTAAATGTGTAAAATTTCACAGATTTTTGTTACTATTATTAACAACTTCAGTAGAAAAGCAAACCTACGGTCGGTCATACAATAGCGTTTAATCATTTAGGGGTTATTTCCGTTGAATTTTCCTTCTTTCGTCAAGTATACGAAAATTTTGGACATTAATTTAAGTATTGTTGACTTAGCTAAGCGGTTGAATGTCAAAGGTGTTAAATCAAATATGCAAATATGAAGTTGTACCGAATTCAGGATTAGTTTTGATAGTGTTTCAAAGATGGTTAAGTAGTTGTATCAATAAATGTTCTGATACGTCTGTCTATTCGGAATTTGCCATCAGACGAGAAAGAGAGCGTATTTCACGCTTACACTCCAAATTGTGATCTCCTCGTCACTTTGTGTGTATTAACAGCATTTTTGCGACGGACGCGCCCTCAGGCGCGTTCAGAGCTAAGTCATCTACACATGGGATTTCGTTGGCTACACTCGCGCAATGTGTCCTAAACCGATTAACAGCCCAAGAAATAGTACATGAATTTGATCCTTCAAAACTCCCATACTTTGTCTGGATATCTTAATGTCTTCCATATTTAGCCTTTTCAATTTCAAATTAAGTTATCAAAGTTAAAATATGAACGTATATTATTGATAAAAACGTTATAGTCCCGTAGTATTATTGCGCATTATGCAAATTACTGCTGAAACGATTTACCGCTGTCGGAAAAGTAGGACAGCAAATTATACTACAATAAAGGTGTAACCTCTGAGTTCCAAGACATTATTAGTAGGAAATAAATATTTCTACATTATACAAAACATTATTATTAACAAATCAAAAGTTTTTCGTGACTCTAGGATAACTCGCGCATTAATAAAAGAAGAACTATTTTCGTGACTCATACCGCGGGTTTAGCTGAATATTCAGCAGTTATTAATATATTAGATTCAGTACAATAGTTAGTATAAATATCTATTTTTGAAAATGCATGTAAGAAGAGAGTTTTTCAATACTTTACCGCCATGTAGTCTTTCATGGTAAGGAAGTTATAATATCAGTTCTACTTCCGATTCTTGTGGTTTGTTTACATATATTTCTAGGTCATGATATGAATTAACCTTCGCTATTCTAAAAATAGATTCTGCTTCACCTGTTCTGATTTTTGGACAGGCGATTAGGGAGTACACATTATACATGTAATTAATAAACCAGCGGATTACATGCAATACTTTTAGAAATTCTATACAATTGTAAGAAGCCAACAAGTTGAAAATGGAATTTAGTGTGAAATTGAAAAGGACAACTAAACACTGTAGTGCTTAAGTGACATTTAAATTAAAATAAAAACGATGTGCTCTGGCCTCTACATCTTTACCTTGTAAATAAAAAAAATCTAAAAAATACACTATTAATTGCTGATGATTTTAACCAAATTTTTTTTAATGAGACATATTATCCAAGAGAAATAAAAATACAAATGACTTATATTTTATTGTCTATATGCCCACTATGATATAACACGAAGCAATTCTAAATAGCATTCTCAAATGTATAATGTATTATGTTTGAAGTTTATTTGCCTGGATTTATTTTAGAAATATTTCGTTGACAGTTTTTTTTTCTATTTACATATCATTTCTTAGAATAAATCGATAAGGACACTGATTTACAAGTTTGACCAGAGTTTTTAGGCATGAATTTCATTCTGTATTTAAGTGCTTGAAAGTAGAAAATCTGAATTATATCAGTTTGGGACACACAATATATTGCTCTACAAATCTCGAACTTGTATGAAACAAATTTTCTCTGTTATATATTTTGTGTTTTGTTTTTGTTTAAAAGAAGCCTTAATGTCTCTCCGGTTGCATGTCCGTCGCATTCGGTGCTGCAGCACTTTGATTTACTACTGCATGTTCTGTATAAAAAATCAAAAGGATTTGAAGTTGTATTATTATTAATGCAAAAGGGATAATTATATTATTACGATATATAATAGATAATAAAAGTATGTATTTTTAATTCTTCGAGAACAATTTAACTTTATTTTAAATAAAGCTAACACATGTACATGTATATATAAATACATGATTCTGTTAAACATTTTGACATTTATCCTTATATTACATGTTGTATGCATGTTTAAGTGAATAAAAAAGATATGTTGTTGAAAAGTAAAATCATTTCATTCCTTAGAAACATCAACAAATATAATGTGTTATTTTTCACAATTTTGTCTTTAACAACGCTGGAAATATAACAAATAACGTGTTTTTATTGATGAATTAAAAAAGAAAAATTACTAGAAAAGTGCTTCCCGTAATTAAAGTCTTAAGAAAATAGCTTCAGTAGGAAACATTAATTTGTATGTTTATGACCTGTTTTCAACATTTTTTAATCAAATTGTGGTATTTTGTAGTTTATTACATTTCCATGTCGAGAAATGTTAGAAAAAAAATCACTGAATAATGTCGTCTGCTTTCAAATGTCACACACAATGCAGACGACTTTTATATATGTATCAAGCAGGGATGTTAGACTTTTCACGGCTTAATGAGACACTAAGTAATCTGTTGCACAGGAAGCACACATTTTATATTGTACAAAACATCTTCATTTCTGTCCATTTTTACCGTTTTAATTATAAAATTTGTCATGAAACCGAAAGAAAATAATACTGTTGTTTTTTTCTTTTTAGGTTACAAAACAATGTATCAGCTTCGTGATAAGATTCTTTTGCAAATCACGCGCTGGAGAAAATATAAAAGTGTCAAAATTTGAGCATTACAATTATATTTCATTTCTTTTTTCAGAGGACTATGACAGTGTTGAATTTCGGACCCTGAATGCGTTTTCATAGAGCCAAAAGTATGACGTCAGTCGTAGAAGCCGTTTTCCTTCTTTTGGGTATCGTCTGCTGCAAAATTTCGTCTGCTGAGGATTCAACAATATTCTTTAGCGAGAGTATCCCAGAGAATAAGGAAAGTGGGTTTTTCATTGGAAACATTGCGACTGGGACTCAAGTCCTTCAGAATGCCACGGAAGATGAAAAGAAGGGTGCAAAGTTTACTTATTTGAAGAGTTCGGCGCCAGAAAATGTTTATTTTGATCTGGACAGTGTCACTGGTAATCTGAATACATCGGATACTAAAATTGATCGTGAAACAGTCTGTGAATTTTCTGTAACATGTAAAATTACTTTGGAAATTGCTGTTGCATACGGTAAATTTTTTGGTTTAGTTACCGCTGATATCTTTATTCTAGATGAAAATGATAACGCTCCTAAATTCACTGACGAAGTGACTAAGTTAGACATTTCCGAGGATGAATCCATTGGTACTGAATTTAGAATTGGCACAGCGTTCGATGCGGATATGTCGGGAAATAATTCGATTCAGGACTTTTCAATTGAACAGCCGGAAGAACTGTTTGAACTTAAAGCTTCCAAAGGAAATGATAACAGTTTCAGTTTCAAATTAAAACTTCTGCAAAAACTAGATCGGGAAATTAATGACAAGTATCGTGTAAAAGTTATTGTAAGCGACGGAGGAAATCCAGTTCAAAGTGAATCCCTTGAAATAACTGTAAACGTTCTGGATGAAAACGATAATAGTCCTGAGTTTTTATCAACCGTTTATAACAAAACTATCGACGAAAACATCCCAATAAACTCAGTTATTCTTACAATATCAGCATCTGATAAGGATATAGGCGAAAATGGCCGAGTTACTTACAGGATACGAGAACGGCAGTCCGATATAGACACTATCAAAAGGCTCTTTAAGCTTGATGCAAGTTCTGGTGATTTGTCAGTTATTTCTGATCTCACAAGCGAGCCCTCTGAGTATTATGAATTTTTCGTTGAGGCAACCGACCACGGGTCTGTTCCTTTTGTAAACCAGACTGTTGTTTCTATAACAGTTAACGATGCTTTAAACAATCCTCCTACTATTGAAGTAAATCTCCTCTCTCCAGGGAATATAGGATTCGTCAGCATTGAAGAAAACCAACCAAATGAAGTATTTGTTGCTCACGTCAACGTTGAAGATTACGACAAGGGCGATAACGGAAAATTCACGTGCGATATTAAAAATAGCCTATTCACATTAGAAAAATTTCAAGGTCGTGGGTTTAAGGTTGTTGTTGATGGTCTTTTAGATCGCGAAGAGAAAGAGATTCACACTGTGAAAGTTGAGTGTGCTGACCTAGGCAAACCACCACAGGTGTCTTCGTCATCATTCGACGTTCGTGTGTTAGACGTTAATGACAATGATCCGAAATTTGAAAAAGAGATATATAATGTTGTTATCGCGGAAAACAACCCAATAGGTGCAAATATTACCCAAGTTAAAGCAACAGATAGAGACCAAGGACTGAATGGCACAGTCGAGTATATGCTGTTAGATTCTAATGGACAATTTCGTATAAACAATGCAACTGGACATATATTTGCAAACAAAAGTTTTGACAGAGAACTCAACAGTTTGAGAATAGTGAAAGTTTTAGCTGTTGATCATGGTCCCATCAGACGTTCTTCTACTACAACCGTCTCCCTGACCTTGACTGATATAAATGATAATGCACCGGTCATGATTCCTGCCCGACCTGAGCTGAGAGTAGCCGAGAACCAGGCTGCAAACACTTCACTCGGATTTCTACAAGCCAATGATAGTGACCTTGATATTAATGGAATGTTTACCTTTGCTATTACACTAGTGAAGCAGACGACATTCCCCTTCACCATATCACGTGATGGTGAAATCAAGACTACACGGCCTTTAGACAGGGAGAAAATAAAAAGGTACGACATACCCGTGACCGTTACCGACCTTGGTGTAAACCAATTGAGTAACACTCAGCTTGTCACTATTTTTGTTACGGATGAAAACGACAATGCACCAAACATTACTTTCCCAAATGATGTCAATAACACTGTTAGATTTATTTACCCGGTAGATTCCTACAATGTCGTTACAACAGTGGCCGCTTATGACCTCGACGCTGGTGAAAATGGGTCGCTTAGTTTTCATATCATTGACGGTAATGAATTAGATATTTTTGAAATCGATTCTGAGCTTGGCGAAATCTCCATCAAGAAATATGTAGACATAAAAGAGGACATCACTGTTATTCTAACTACGGAAGTCAAGGACAAATCCAGTGTGCCTAAGTCTGCGCGTGCTACGCTAAAAATAGAATTGATCTATGCGAATTCAACAGTTGGCGCTTCTGGAGCAGACGATACAGGGAATAAATATATTATAATCTCAGTTGTTGTCATAGTAACAACTGTTGCTGTGGCAGTTGCTATAGTTGGTGCTATCCTGTTTCTTCGTTCTGCTGATAAAAAGAAATCACAAGAAGACGAAATGGCGAGGTACTCCGATTCTGGGATTTCGTCAACAGCCGATTCTATTCGTCAAGATGGATATTTGTCTGGAAACGTTGACGATAAGTCTAAGAAGAAGAAAGAAGTCAGTTTTTCCTTAGAGTTTTCTTTAGACGATCTAGAAGGCGGACGCAACAACGAGAGCAGTACTGACGAATTTTCTCAAAACGTAAGTAAACCCAAAAGACACGTAATTAATGCCTTTTCACGAAACTAATAGCATGATCTGTCTCTATACTGTTTTCAAATTTTGTTGCACGCGATAAAAGGAACATTTATTGCAATGACGTGATTAAAAAAATCTTGACACTGTAGAGTTAGGAGTGAGATCTGACAAACCTTATTTGCAGTTTTATGTCAATGTGGGGAAGTTCTTAAATTATCATGAAAGCAATCAAACTCTCTCGTAATTGAAAATCTGAAAATCTAAAACTCCATTAACTATTACCGAAGGAGTGAAATTCGAATCCAAAAGATCGATGGCCTCTATCGTTTTAATAATGAATTGTAGGCTTATGGTTACGATTTGATAGAGTGTGTTGTCTCCAGGCAATAATCAGCAGAATCGACAGTTTCTAGACATGTAGAATGTTTTTCGCAGTGTTCCTATTTATGTTCATGTTTTATTCTATTGTTATTTCCTTCCTTTCTTGGTCCTTAATGTCACAAACCACGTATGTCCTTGACATTATGAACACGAAGTGATTTGCATAGATTTATATTATTACGCGCGACACTATTTATGTAGTTTCTCCCATTACACCAAATGGTAATAGCAGACGTAAATGATCGTTTCCTGTTAATAGTGGGAATATATTTATTTTCCTCTTTGGCATTTCAATCTATTTATCTTTTAACCTTCGTTTCCCTGGTGAAATATTTGCTGAAAGGGGTAATTTAAGAAGATATATATTAATTATTTTGCAAGAACATGAAATTTGGCAAATATAAGAAAATTAGACGAATTATATATTCCAGTCATCTTAACTCAAATTTAAACTGGAACCAAAAGTGATTAGCCTTTGCCACCAATGTTGAGCCAGCACATCTCCCTGCACACTGTACCAGTCTGACTATGCTCCATCCAGTTGGCTGACTTCAATTTGATATACCCAAAGTTGATAATGGACAGTTCTGAAAATGGAAGCTGGTCAACTCCATTAAAGAAATTCAGCATGTTAAGTATTAAAGCAGGCGTTATATAGCTAGATTAAATAAATGAGCCGTGTCACGACAAAACCAACATAATGGGTTTGCGACCAGCATGGATCCAGACCAGCCTGCGCATCCGCGCAGTCTGATCAGGATCCATGCTGTTCGCTATCAGTTTCTCTACTTGTAATAGAGTTGATAAGCGAACAGCATGGATCCTGATCAGACTGCGCGGATGCGCAGGCTGGTCTGGATCCATGCTGGTCGCAAACCCATTATGTTGGTTTTGTCATGACACGGCTCAAATTGTTTAATGATTTAAAGCAGTTGTTTACGTCCAGTTTCTACTCTGATGCCATGTTGTCATTGTTTCACTTACTTCTACGATAATCAAAGTCACAAAATTTTGTTCTTGTATTACAGAGATTTTATGATGCTCCTCCTATGACTACTCAGCACGGTCCTCCGACTTATAATCTACAAAACCAAGAAAGAATTGATGGTCACATGAAAGCTTTGAAACTTCAACAGTATCTTTGGGAAGCAAAGTCAAGATCCTGGGAAAACTCATCTGTAAGTAATCTTTTGTCATCAAAAGCATCACTTAGTTTTTACTCGACTTTATGAAAAGAAAGAAAGAAAGAAAGATTAACTGTTATTTGACAATATACCGTTTATTCTTAATAAGAAGAGTGCTAATCGTTATTTTAGATTTTTTGTTTGTTTTAACCTGTTTTGATCATTCTCCTTTCCAATTTTAATTTCTAAAAGATTTTATCATTTTTGTGTGTTTTTTTTCCACTTAAACAGCTAAGCTCCACTTATTTGATATGTCTCATAGATTAACAACAAAGACGGTAGTCTTATATCTTCCGGTGGTTTAAAAGTTTTATTTTCAATTTTATCGTCTGTTTAGTGAGAACGGGTAGATAAAACCGATAAAAGAGTCATCAAAGAAACATAAATACTCAATAATAGGTGTTATATTGTCTTTTGATAGGTGCACCAGCTTCCACCCGGTGACAGCGAGAGTGAAACGTCACGTGAAACAGTCACGTGTGATAGTGGGCGGGGCGGAAGCGAAGATGATGTTTCAATGTCTTCCCCCATATCAGGTATTTGATACTTTTTTTTTAATATCAATGAAAACATGTTTGCAAACATGCAAATAATGCAAAAACTAATATTTTGAAATTTCAACAAGATTGATTTAAGTCGGAAAAAGATGTTTCCAGTGTTTGCTTGTATACAATAACCTTTTACATTACAAAGCAAACTGAAAACGACGAATAATAGAATGATTAATAAGCACCACTGAGAATAGACGTGAACATGGTTTTTGTTATTAAAGGTATTAAAGAAAGCATACAAATGTATAATATAAATAAGAATAACATTTAGATCTAATGGTAAATTATTATGAAATACAAATGTACATTATTTTATTTATTTTCAGAAGACAAACGTTTCTTCAGCATTCAAGACGCCAAGCCCAAACATGTGCAGTTTCATCCACAACAAAAATTCGTTCATACGTCACTTCCGACAGTAAGGGAGAGTACTCCTGTTCATCACAATCAACCACCGCGACCACCTCCACCCGTTTCATACAGACCCCCATCTCAATCAGACATTCAAAACAATGCACAGAGAAATAATCCGAGATTAGCTATTAAAAACTTTACAAATCCTACATATAGCTCAAATCATGCTCATACTCATCAAATGAACCAAAGAAACTTACAATTGCAGTCGGAACCATGGCGGGAATATTACCAAAATGGCGGCAAATATTATCCGCGCATGCGTCATGACAGCGGAAGCTCAATGAGATCAAATGAAGATGATGGCGGATCTACAACTACTTCCGGCAGCTATACTTTAGATGAAAACGATATTGACGTTACTGACATGTATCCAAACCAAAGAGATTTGGTTGTGTGAGGAAATTTATTACATTAAAAATTGCTAAAACTGTGATAACTTTTTATTCTCTGTGCAATTTGTTATAATGGATATCTTCTGGACAGTTCATAAGATGCAGAACTAAAACATAAACGTTGCAGGCAATTCCAATGAGATTGAACAACTAGCTGTGACAGATATATTGCAAGATCATGCCAAAACTTTCTGCCGTATTGAAATTGAGATAAAAGAAAAGGTAAATATGGTTATGTTTATTTGCATCTATTCCAGTCTTGTAAAAGAAAGATAAATCTTTTAAAACATTTACATGTATAATGTAGTATTTTGTTCGGTATTTATGAATGTAAATATAACATTTAAATGTAAGATACATGATGTAATTAAAACACAGAATAGATTACATTTGAAAAAAAAACCCTTAAAATACAATTGATCTTCTAATTTACCCATTGATTTCAGTTCTCTTTAGTTCTCAGTCCAATAGTTTAATGCCAGGCTAATCGAGAATACATAAAGCATATCATTTTCATTCAAACTTACCTATCCTTTCAGGGCAGAAAAATCGAAGTCCTTAAATGGAACTGTTGATGAGCGGCTGGCAATAAACAGTTGGCATGATCTGTTGATATTATGGATTTAATACACAGTGACTTGAATAGGAAACACAATAGAGACTGTTACGAGAAAAGGATTGTATTGTTTAGAACTTTTGGTGCTGTATTTGGATATTGACAAACCCTCATTTATTCATTTTAAAACTGCATTTGTTTTACACGGTATCATTTGTATTTGTTTATTTTATTGTAAATGTGCTTATAATATACATGTGTTTTTGTTAAATAATGTAAAGATTCTGTTCCTACTAACTATTAAGGTGCTATTGTGAAATGATTTTATTATGTGTTCCTATCTGATCTGTGCATTTTGTTTAATTTTGTCTGGCACGTTTGCTCAATTCTTGACTAAATTGAACCATTTTCAACCTCATTTTGATACAAATAGTATTAAAACTATATGAAGTTTATGATATACCTGATACATGAAATAGCTTTGACGTAAAATTAGGTATAGATTACCAAAAATAGGTATTAATTACCAAAAAGAGATATAAACTACCCAAAGAATTTAGTTTATCTGAATGATATGCATGTGTATGCACTTTTGTTACTCTCTGCATTTGTTTTGATGTGTTTCTTTTTTTTGGATTTTTTATATATATAATTCAAATAATCAAACCAATCTGGAGCTTCTTTGTGAAAATGAAGCCCTTTTTTATAGACAGCAAAAATGAGGAGATTTTTGACATCTTAGTCCCTAAAAATGTAGTTAAAGCAGTATTTAACATTATGTCATTTAAGGCACGATTACTGAGTGAGACACAACTTTTAAAACCTTTTGACACAAAATCATCGTTTCTGCATAATAATTAGGTGAAAAATGAATGTTCCTATTACCATTATGTGTTTTTGTTGATGTTTTTGTGTTTAATTTGACTGATTCAACGCCGATTTGTCATAATCGGCGGTATTTTTACTGCTTTGAAGTAATGTTATAAATGGTTTTCAGTCATGTACAACATGGCGGAGTATAATACATCATGTTTTATAATTAGACATATGTTTTGATCTCAGCTTTCTAATACAAAAAAATAAAATGATAAATCTTAGTTGTCTGTCACATGTTTGATTGCACCCTTTGCCCCTCCCCAACCTCCCAACCTCCTCGACCCCCCCCCCCCGACATCTTCCCCTCACAATAAATAGAAATATGTCATATTAGTTAATGTCATATAATCACGCAGTAATGAAGAAGAAAGAAAAAACTCATCAAACCCCTTTCGTATCTGATTTTAAACGGGTTTCGGGTGACGAGGCGAAATATGAAAGTATCAGTTAATCGAAATTATAGTAATTTGTATTTTAGGAATTAGAAGATTTGTGTGAAAGGAAATTAATGACGCGTGCACAGAACGTGAGTTAAAAAGCTCATTTCTCGTTACCAAGTTTAAACGTTGTAAGATTTGAAAAACTGCCTATTTCTACAAGTTTCAATATTCAACCAACTGTGACATAAATCATAATTATCAAATGTAATGGTTAAAAAGAAAACCAAGCTACAGAAAACACGCTAATAAACATTAAAAAAGGAGGAGCTATCAAAATGTTCAACTTTGCCATCGTGTGTTCGAGTCTTACAAACAGATTTTACAACCATGTTCGGTCTTTCTTACATGACATTTCAAAATCTTAAACAAAACTTCTGTCCACAAATAGCACTCTTTCAATTTAAAGTGGTTGATAAATGTATGTCAATAATCTTTCATTACCAAGCTAAAAAGAGAAACGAATTCTGTAATGGGGGTGATTCCAACATAACAATTACTATATGGTGATTCCAACATTAAATTTACTATATGATGATTCCAACATTAAAATTACAATAAGATGATTCCAACACTACAATTACTATATGGTGATTACAGCATTACAATTACTATAAGATGATTCCAACATTACAATTACTATATGGTGATTACAACATTACAATAACTATAAGATGATTCCAACATTACAATTACTATAAGATGATTCCAACATTACAATTACTATATGGTGATTACAACATTACAATTACTAAAAGATGATTCCAATATTACAATTACTATATGGTGATTTTCAACATTACAATTACTATAAGATGATTCCAACATTACAATTACTATATGGTGATTACAACATTACAATTACTATAAGATGATTCCAACATTACAATTACTATATGGTGATTACAACATTACAATTAGTATAAGATGATTCCAACATTACAATTACTAAAAGATGATTCCAATATTACAATTACTATATGGTGATTTTCAACATTACAATTACTATATGGTGATTACAACATTACAATTACTAAAAGATGATTCCAACATTACAATTACTATATGGTGATTTCCAACATTACAATTACTATATGGTGATTCCAACATTACAATTACTATAAGATGATTCCAACATTACAATTACTATATGGTGATTCCAACATTACAATTACTATATGGTGATTCCAACATTACAATTAGTATAAGATGATTCCAACATTACAATTACTAAATGGTGATTCCAACATTACAATAAGTATAAGATGATTCCAACATTACAATTACTAAATGGTTATTCCAACATTACAATAACAATATGGTGATTCCAACATTTCAATTACTATTATTTCTGGTTTAACAATGGTTTCCATATAGAAAACATGTACGCTTATCAGTCAAATATCGAAAAGTAAGTTGCATTAACCAGTAATGCCAGTTTTGAATTTACATGAAATAAATATACTGGAGCAATCGAATCAAACCTTGATTACGAGGGACTTATCTTCCAGATAAAACCAAATTCTTTGCAAGAAGCTTACAAAAACAACGACATGAACCAGTCTGCGTTAGTGAACAGACAGAAAAAAATGGCAGAACAAATGGGCAGGTTTCAGAACATATCGTATGCAAATTCTAAACAAAAATGTTATGATAAAAATACACTACATTGGTGTTAAAATCTTCCACAATATCTTCAACATCAAGGAGTTGAACGCATGACAAGGTTCAATCTTTCAATTGATCCCATTGCTTATTTGATCATTTTACAGGGAAGAAGTGGCACATTGGTTAACGTAAGTGCCTCTTAACCTAGGAATATTGTGTTTGATCCTGGATTCTGGAACATAACCTTGTTTTATCTTTTCAAATGACATCAGTACTGGCCTGAAGGTTATATGCGTAAAACGTTTTTCTAAGATCCTTCTCAAATGTATTTTATCGGACATTGGTCAGTGTATATTCTCTGCTTGTTTGTGACCGCACAGATTTCTCAGATCCGAGTTGGAGCTTAGAAAAATTCTGTATAACTTCAGACCCGGGCTAGTTACAGGAAGCCAACTCGCGAATGGTTTAACTCAAATGAATATGTTTAAATCAGTGATATATAATATATGGAGGATATACAAGTTTTTTTCTATAAATACAGTATTAATATTCATCGAGTGGTATGAAAATAAATATTTCATGAGTGGCGGTAGCCACAAGTGAAATATAATGATTTTCATATCAAAAGATGAAAATAAATCTTGTATTTATAGAAAAGTTCTTGAATTTTCTGTTTATTATATACATGTTTCTCTTATTTGATATCAGAATTTGAATGATTTTCCCTTAAATTTTGTATTTTGGCTTTATAGAGCAAAAAGTAGTCCGGCAAGATACCGGTGAAAATACGGAAAATATGTTTCACTGCAGTGAAAAATATTTTTTTCCAGTGAAAATACGGAAAATGAAAAATACGTATTTTATTTCATCAATATTCTTCAATATTTCATTTATAAGTATACATTGTATAATGAATAGAGGATATTTAAGTTTTTATAAAAACAGTATTTATTTTCATCAAGTGGTATGAAAATAAATATTTCATGAGTGGCGGTACCCACAAATGAAATATGGAAATTTTCATACCACAAGCTGGAAATATTAGAAATATTGAATTTTCTGTTTATTATATACCTTTTCTCCTTTTTTGGCCTTACAATTCTTAAGACCTGTCGTTTAATTTTGTGTATTGGCTGAATTAAGAAAGTATTCCGGCAAGATATCAGTGAACGTACGGAAAATATGTTTCACTGCAGTCAAAAATAAATTTTTACAGTTAAAATACGGAAAATGAAAAAACTCATTTTATTTCATCAATATTTCTCAATATTTCATTTATAAGTATATAATAAAATATTATATACAGTTTCTGGTTCAAATTAAGACATCAGTAAACTTATATAGTACATTTTCTTTAACAGTCAATTAAACAGTAATCACTTATTTACTTTAAATGTATCAAATTTAATGGCATAGCCGTTACAAGATCAATTACAGACACGTTTAACGCAATGCAAAATTAATATTTGAATAGTCCAGAATTAATATTTACACACGACCAATACAATATTAACTTTTATTGTATACGTAATTCACTTTAACAGAAATGCCTTGTATATTAAATGCCGTTAAAAATAACTGAAACTACTGGTAAATACACGAAAGTAATTTTTATAATAATATTGATATCTATACGTTTTTATCGCTGTGAGAAAAAGGAAACAAAATCAAACAATTTAAATAGATGTAAAAGAGCAAAGATAAGTATTTTATTTGTTTTCACGACAAGGTATTAAACCCCCTGTGACTTTCTCAAATATCACCGTAATATATCATGCGAAAACGCTCATGGAGAAATCATGGTTTCATAAAGAAACGTCAATTTCGACATGGGACTTTTTGTTCAACTAATAATTTAATTCAATAAAATGTTTGATAAGTTTGATTTTATTATAAGAATATTACAGAAAAGTTAAGAAATAATCATTGTACATGTAAAACAAATACAAACAAATAGATAAAGCTATACACAAATAATCATGATCAGATTAAAAATGTACTTTTCCAAAATCACAAAAATAGGGAAAATATATATTAATAGCTAAGATGTTTTTTTATGATATCCAAGGAATATTTTCATAACATTTCCGCTTTCATATATAAATGTAAGGAGAATTTTAACCCGTAACCTCCTTGAACCGGAACATAAAAATAACAATATACTACAAATAAATATACAAATGGAAAAAAAAATTTTCAAGAAAAAATAATTATACATCAATATGCATGTATTATTGACAAATCGATTTTTGCTTTCAATATACCAAACGGACATATTTACACACAGATTGGTCCAACAGAAAAATAAGTACAGTCGAAAATAAAAAGAATAGTTTTGTATAAAGGTTTCTGACGAATAAAAATTAACATCTGTCAAAAGCCGTTACAAATGCTGCTTGATGACCAGACGCCATTGAGCTGTTTGAGCAAAACGCTCCAAGAAGTGTTGAAAGGACTTAATGCAAATATGAAATCCAATGACTAACATATCAATTTAGTGGTCTTGAACCTATATCCTTTAGACAAACAAAGTGCAACATATAATGACTATTTAACTAAATATTTGTTTAAATGGATAATATCACACCGAAGGTGTTACTAATGTGTCAACAATTGCTTTGTGAAACAAAGAAGCGTGCTAGACTTTATATAAGCGGAAGTAACAATTGTCGTTTGGTCCAGATGTCAATTTTATATTTGTATGTTATTTCCTTTAAAGTCTGTACAGCTTCTGTTTAAGGGCATATGGTTTTATTGAAATAATCTATTGTATTTGAAGTAAATGTAAAGTTCAAGACGTCAGTTATGTTGATAGGTGGTTGGTCGTGGGCAGCGGAGAGATGCACATGGCGATGTTGACAAAGTTAGTGAAGAAAGTATATCAATACTTAATACAAAACTGTCAAAAATTGATTTTGTCTTGTTGACTTCGATTAAATGTCAAAAACTGAAGTAATCATGATATTGATGAATATCAAAACGATATCAAAGGATATATCAACATTGGTTTTATATTGCCGATGAAAGCGCAGACAGGCTGTGGGTTACTTTCTCAAATACTACTGGTTCAAAATATGGTAAACAAGACCAACAAGGAAAGGCGGTGTTCAATGAACACAACCCCCACTAGACCCAGCAACAAGGACCAGCGGCCAGGAGGTACAGGATGCTCAGTA